ACATCGAGCTCCGGGAAATAAAGGTTCAAATATTATTTGAGCCTGCGCATTTGCTGGAATAGTCAGACGAAGTCGAATAGAGTTATCCATTGTATCATGCCTATCTCGAGTATAAGCCAAATGAACAAGACCATATAAAGTATTTAGTTGACAATCAACTTTGAGCAAGAGATGCTTTTTACTTTCTATCACCATGCGTGGTCGAATAGTGATAAAATCAGGACTTACATCAATACCTGCTAAATGAGAATAGAACCAAGCACCAACACTTCCGAACATGATATGATTACGTGAATTCATGCCTGGACCTTCGAATGGTGCATTCCAAAGTTCCCAAATCGTAGTAGCATTTTCGTAGGGATTATTAAACATGTAACCATAGGATGGATATGTAATAGATGATATTAATTCAAGAGCTACATCATGATATCCATTATCAGACAGAAGTGGAAAGAGTTGAGCCGTGCCGATAATGCCTGTTAAAGCATGATTTCCCTTTTCAATGATATCACCTATGAGGTGTTCTAAGACGAATTTACGAGCGTAGTCGGGTACCACATTTGATAAAACTAAAGCAAGTATTTGTGCAGTTTGCGTGCCATCATCATACAAAAATGTGCTGAAATTAAAGAAAGCTTCATGAAATTCTTTGGCTAATTGTTGATATAGTGTCAAATAATTTTGTGTGTCATTTGTGTAACCAAGTATTTGCGACATATTAATCAATAATGAAATATCATGCATGAATGCAAAAGATGAAGCTAAAGAACCATTAACTCTTGATTGAGGTGGTGGTGGAACCCAATCACTATAAGAATAGAAAAGACCAGCTAAGCCTGTTGATTTGTAAGCAGTATGAACACTTTCCACATATGCAAGAATATTTGGATAGAAAACGGAAAGAATTTGAATATCCTTATAATGACAATAGAGGTGCCAAGCAATCGTAGGTAAAGCAGTACCCCAGTTAGGATCAGCTGGATAATCACCATCACTAAATGGTACGGTATCAGGTACAGCACCATCTGGTCCTTGATTATCAACGATTGAATGAAGAAAATTTATATACAGTTTTATCAAATCAAAATTATACAGAGCTTCATTTACTGTCAATGCCGCATCACCCAACCATCCTTTTCGTTCTTGTCTTTGTGGACTAGAGAATAAGAGAAAACAAAGTTAGGTACATGCATCAACTATCTTTGACTTTTACCAATCGGTAGGTAACGACATAAGATTACTTAGTTGTCCCCATTGAATATTATGCTGGATTTGATTGATTACTGGATTGCTTGAGATGAAATGTCCTTTTAATGTTGTTTCACTATGAACAACAAGACATTCAACATCATCAATAGTCATTGGATTTGGTAAATTCATGATCGAAACATAGCGAAAACCGTGATAGGTAAATCTAATTCAAGCAAAACAAAACAAAAATTAATTGATCTATTGAAAATTAACTTACCTTGGCTCATAAGTTTCACCAACTGGATCACCACGTAATACATAGATATCCATTTGCGTAGCACCCAGAAGGTTATCAGTATAAATTTCATTATAAGATTTGCTGAAGATTATTACCGAAATGAATTCTAATCATCATCATTAGACTGACTGAAATTGACTTACTGTGTAGTGACTATTGGCTGAGTTAAAATTTCTCCATGATGTATGTAGACACCTACACCACGTGAGCCACGAAATTTAAATCGACACCAACCAGCCATATTTTGACCCAAGTCGAATACTTGAACTCCTAATAGATAATTAGTTGATATACAAGATGTAGTTATGAGTGATCAACTAACCAATTGTTGGAGACCATGTGGCAATTGGTTTAAGTATTCCACTTTCAGTTAACATAGCACCATGCATATAACCAATATCATCTGATGATAAATATCCATCTATAGGTTTAGTAGTTACTTCGAAATGTAATGCATCTGATCCCGCACGAATTGGAAGCATGTCTTGCATTACAATTTGACCATGCACACTGTCATTAATTGGAGATGGCATTGATTCTGCTGGTAACCATAATGATAATGAATCATTAAATCCTACTTGTCCCCAATTGGGTCGATCGTTACGACTATCAAAGAATTCTCCATTGTAAATACTATCATGTAGAATGGCACTTTGACGACCCATCCAAGTTGGATCACTATGAACATTCATTTCGTCACCATTCTCGAACTTGACTTTCAAGAGAAAGATAAAACGAGGAGGACCTAAAAATAAATCGGTGAAACTTACTTTAAACTACATATGTATGAATAATATATATGTTATCTGTTAAGGAAACTATGTTTCAATATCGTTGTTCAACATTTTCATATTTGATACGAAAAATCTGTTTACCGTAAGTTGGTTGCGGTGCTACTGGAGGTGTATATTGTTCTTGGCTGTACCAACCATTACCTAAGCGAACACCTATAACATTCATACCAGGCTAAATATGACAAAGATTCAATTTACTAAATTATATGTAATTTAATACAACTTTGATGGTTGATGACAGATCAAATGAAACTAAGAGGGTTCGTTTTTCATACACAGTCCAGCTAGGATCTAGTTTTCGACTCAGATCAATTTTATCTCCATTAACATATAATTCGTAATAACCAAGACCAGATATATAAGCTATGGCTGATTGAATTGGACTGCTATTCGATACTTGAAATTCTTTACGTAGTTCATTCATACTGATTTGATTTGAGCCGATCCACATTAAACTATCAGTTTGATTCATAATGTATGAATGAATATTAAAAACAGCTGTTCGAAAATGTATCCAATGTGTCCATGAACTTGCTTGGTTTGACTGTGTTGTCCATGTTCGCAAACGAAATTCATAAAAAGTATCCGGTTGAAGATTGCTAATTCCTATACAGGATACATGAATTGATTGTCTTGACATCACTTTTTTGCTATCCCATTGATTAGTAGGTGATTTCATTTGTAGTTGATATGCTGTCTGTTGTACATTTCGGTCTGCTGGTGATACCGATAATTTCCATGATAAACGAGGCTCTGGAGTATTGATTACTAGATCTTTTGTTGTATCGACTTTATAATGATCTAATCGAATATCGTATGGAGCGGTTAGCACAGCGAAGACAACATTTGGTAAAAAATAGATAATTGCAAACACGCAAATACAGAACATGTTGCTTAGAATTTAAGATAATGTATCTATCCAGGTGGACGTTATTGTTGTTGTTGCAACATATGAATTCATGTTATCATTATCAACTTTACTTGAATCAGCAGTATGTTTTAAATTATGCCTCAAAATGTGTAGATATCTCCGTAGTCTTTGTCTTTACTTCGAAACAAATGAAAGAATATAAAACTATATTGAGATAAATTATGAGATACTAAGAAGAAAAAGAGGAGGGTGTGGGTGTAAGTATTGATAAATTATATCTCGTCGACACCCGCATTAGAGCCCATAGACTCCGAAGTTTTGCAAACCGGACCCTAGCCAAAAAGGATTCTTCTGCGTCAGAAACTAAGTCAATGTTTTCTATTAAAGATAGAAACAATCTGTTTACAACACTAATAGTTAAAAGAAGCTAGCTCTGCAAAGAAAACTTAAGATTAGAAAAATTTTAAAAGTACTTGAATGTACATCAACAATTACTTTAGACACCCGCTTCCCCCTAGGAGAAATTATTTAAATTCGGAATTGCACCTGCATCCAATCAAAATCAAACTTTTGGAACCAGATTCTACCCGGATCCGACAGAGAGTGTGGGGGTGTGGGTGTGTATGCAGATGTAGGCTACATAATTAGTTCCACACCGCCACTCACACCCATACCCACCCACACCCACACCCACACCCACACCTACACCTACACCCACAGCCACGCCCACAGCCACAGCCAGATCCTCACACCCACCCAGACCCAGATCCACACCTACACTCACACCCACACCCACCCACACCCGCCCACACCCACACCCGCACTCACACCCACACCCTCTCAGATTAGCCGAAGCATCTAAACAACATAGATATTAACACGCTCAATCCTAATGTTATAAAGTATGCAAAATTAAATACAAGTTATTGTCTAAATATAAAATCGCTATTCTGCTAGCACTTGAAGTATCTAAATTAGACACATTACAATCAATCATAAATAGTTCCAAGTGTCTTGCTCACACCCATTTCATCAATGTTCCGAATGATGAGTGCACCAAGCAAAATCGAAGTGAGTGTGCCACGCACTACTTATTGTGATTTGCACTCCACTCGAAAAAATAGAATGCACATGCTGCACTCTATAAGATTTTTCACTTTGTTTTATGTTTTAATTTATATTGTTTTTCTCATTTTTGCAATGAATTTTATTATGTTCTTTGATTTAAGCAAATAGTCTTTTCTTATTACAATCATCTAAACACTCAAACAACGTTTTCTAGAAAAGTGTTTAATTCAATCAACCAGATTTTCATTCGATCCATCAAAAGAAAATTCAAATAACAGTAACAACCAAATAACTTCGAAACAGAGCCATTGCGAGCAAGGGTCATTCCTCTAATCTTTAGAGACTTTGGTTTTGTTGGCTCAAGGTTTTTCAAAAATTCTAGAGAAATCTTTGAAAAATTCTTTAAAAATAATCAAAAATTTCTAGAAATCTTCAAAAGTCTTTGAGAAATCTAAAAACATTTCTAAAAGCTTCAATTATTTTCAAAGATCTCAAAAAATTTTCATTGAATTTATCAATTTTTTTTTCAAAATTTCGATAATGTATATAGATTTTTGAAAAATTTTTCGACCCTTATCTTTAGCACTTTTCAACAGTTCTGCTTCGCAATTTTATTTATTTTCGGTGAACTAGAACGAATATCGAGATGTACAGATCGTTCTCACCGCTGATTCAATTTGTGTTAACCTTGTGATTCAATGATAGTTTGTATTTTTATTTTTATCTTCGAATTTATTTGTAAATTTTGTTACTAAATGACGATTTACAGGTTTTCTTTTTATTGCTATTTATATATATGCATATAGAAGTCTAGAGTATGGATTATAAACTATTATTTCCTTCTTCTGCACACGCTTTTATACATTTGCATTTTGTTGCACTTGGATTCTTGAAACGGAGTGCAACATTTCACCTCACCTCCTGAAAGAAAGTGCGGGATCTCACTATATTTTGAATTCTCATTCGGAACACTACTTTTGATATATCTTGAGCAGAATGCATTATTACGTTTATTTCTTTGGAAATAGGCTTCTTTCAAGATACATTGTAGTGAAATGAAATAATAATATACTAATGAGAATATTTTTATAATGTTGTCTTGATAGTTTTCGAATCATTTTATGAAAATATTTTGAATTTATGTTTGTGAACTAAATGAAAATAGATGTCGCTAATGAGAAATATTACTATTCTTGATTAGAACAAAGAAACGTCTTTTTAGTTCTTTGAATAACATATTTAGTATATATTCATTCGTTTACCCAATTTATCTTTCGAGCAGCGACTAAAAGATTTTTTTTAATTTTCATTTAAGTGGAATGTGGATGGGTATGTACGTATGAAAAATTCTTTTTCTTTTTCAATCTATATTGAATAATGTACATCTTTGAAAAAAAACAAAATTTGAAATGGATTCTTTGTTTCAGATTTCTTTTATAAACATTATTCTTTGCGTAATTAACCAATCAAACAGAAGATATTTCATTAAAATTTTTTACAATTCATCTGAAGAAATGAAACCAAAAAAAGGTAAAAGAAGATTAATTAGATAAAATCTGAATTTTTTCTTATTAATAATTAGATGTAGAACAATTAAAATTTGAAGGTTCATGTTACTGTGGTTCATGTCAATTTATTTGTGAAGGAAAACCGTTGTTTCGTATTATTTGTCATTGTTCAATTTGTACAAGAATCTCCGGTGGTGTTGCTGTAGCATTTGTTGGATTCGAAAATGATAATTTAAAAATGATCAAGGGATCAGAACATTTACGAGGTTTTAAATCATCTGAACGAATGGAAAGATTTCATTGTGAAAAATGTTCATCAAATATTTATAATCAATCATTATTAGCTAATCGATTATTTCGTGATACACCATTAATGAATTTTCGAAGAGATGATCAAGGAAATATTCTTCAATTAGATCAATTACAACCTGATAGCCATATGTTTTTTAGTCAATGTCAAAAATGTTATTCTGAGATGTTCAAAACAGACGATTTAATTAAGTTTAGTTCAATGCCAGGATCAACAATTATTCCAAATCATCCATTAAAATAGACAAAAATATTGATGATTATGTTCATTCTTTTTTCGTCTTCCATTGAAATAAGTAATGGACTACCAAGGGAATTTTATTAATCAAGGTTGAACAGATATTTTTTCGTTATTTTTTTTATTTGTTGAAGTGCAAAACTGATGATAAAAATAAAAAAAAGATGTCTCGATTATAATTAAATGTTTCAATGCAAACGAAGAAGATGTAAATAAAATTCTATATATGTAGAGATATGGATGAGTTGAGATCGGCATTTTTATCTACTTTCAGTTATATTTGAATTTTAAAATTTTTTTCTAGATACTTGGATGTACGAAAGATTAATATTCCTTATCCGTAATAATAATTGTACAACCAAGCACTTTTATTTATATTGATGTTGTTAGTTGTATGTGTATCTCTGAATATACTATTCAAGATAATGAGTTGCCATAATTTTGAAGAAAGTCTTCTTACTCTACTTAAGTCATTGATTATATAGAGATGATTGTGTATTTAATAATATTTGTTACTTGTACAAAACAATAAATATAACATTATATATTGAACAAAATTCGCTTCTATAAATGAGAATTTGATTAAATAGCTGACAGTTCGTTCCAGATCAAAAGCAAAGTAGTTTTTATAGTGATATATGCGACATAAACAATACGATAATTTCTTTATAATTAGTCTACCGAGTGATAGAATATCAGCAAAAAGTAAGTTTTTTTTAGTCTATAGAAAAGTAAGCTATAAAAAAAATGCGAGTGTAGATATATCTATATTCACAATGTGTACTCACACTTTACATTCACGCTTGTTGAGATGTTTTAACTTGCTGCTCCTTCCAATTATATATTGTAGTAACTAGTTAAGATTATCAGGTTTCGATATCTTCTTTTACTGATCAATAATTTGTGTATGTTTATGAATATTTGCAAAAAGTTATTCTCTTGTTTTTGCTCAGATAAAAGATGATGCGATCTATTCAAAAGATAATCATTTGATTTCTCATAACTTTTGTATGACTAAGATAAAGACGTAATTGAACTAATTTCTAAATTTCAGAAATATTTAGTTTCTGTGTTACTCAGCATATCAAAATGGTTAAAAGATAATTAAAATACAGTAAACATACAAGAAATGTATATATTAAACTTATACATTCATTAAATTAAAACTTAAATCAAATAGTATGAAATACTGCTCATCTCAACTACAAGAAGACTATTATATTGGGAATAGCAAGGAGAAAAAAGAATTTGTCTAAAATGTACGAATAGAAATTGCTACAAATTAATTATTTATGGTCAATGTTTCTTTGGAAATTTAATATTTTGCGTCTGTCGTATGCATATTATAAAGATATTTAGTGTATTTAATCAGCTGAATGACAAGAAATTTGATAAATCGAAATACAACAGCTTTGTTGTGATAAAAGTTTACAGCGTAAGTTTTAATTGCTTCAATTTGATTGACATATTTTCAAATGAAACTTATAAAACTTTTTCTTGACAAAATAATGTAAATTTATGATAATTCGATTCACATAAGTCTACATTTCAGCCGTGTTGAATCTACACTAACAATCTTTTTAATCAAAAAGGATTTTTTTACAGAATCAAAACAATTTCGGAAATCTGACAATCAATTTTCAGCAAAAAATCTCTAGATCTAGACATGTTTGGGCACGACACCAATAATTAAAGTTCTCAGTTTTTTGAAAAACAAAACATAATAAAAAGAAAATGAGATGGAAGTAGTCTGCTATTGTGTGATACAAGTTTTTTTTCCTAAAGTGGTCTTTTATTATGAGAAGGTAGTGAGGTCTAAGGACCATAAAAGAATATTTTAAGATTTGTCGAGCGAATGTTGATATATTTCTGTTCTAGGACGATTCCAAAATATTCTGAAACAATATTTTATGTCCTTTCAAAGAGATTGTGTGCTGATCATTAAAAAACTACGTTATGTAAAATCTTCGTACAGCATATATCGCACTTTTGCTATTATCGTAGTTAAAAGAATTGAAAGGAAAGCTTTTCATGGAAAAACAGATCATGTTAGTAATGACTTAACCAGCTATTGCAGTATCAATCGTATACTAGGTGAGATAAAACTCAGATTAGGGGTGCTGCATTAGCATTAGTATCAGCATTAAATTAATGCTAACACCAATATTCTTGTTTTCCGTTCCTAAGCAAAAGTATTTGAATTTGTATTGATTAATGTAAGGTTAGACGCAGCCAGCAGCCCTGATTAATTCTAATACTTTTATGTTACAATTTTAATATAAATGTATTGTAGCTGATATAAATTAATACTATTATAAGCATTAACTTATTATTAGTTACAATGTTTTTATATTAAAATTGTAACACAAAAGTAATGGAATTAATCAGGGCTGTTGACTGCGTCTAACCTTACATTAATCAGTACAAATTCAAATACTTTTTCTTAGGAATGGAAAACAAGAATATTGGTGTTAGCACTAATTTAATGCTAATACTAATGCTAATGCATCACCCATAACTCAGATGGAAATATTATGTAAAATGGGAAGATGCACATCTTGATGAATGAAAAGATCTTTAGAAGAGACATCATCGAAAACATGGGTAACGGAACGATGTAAGTTTAGGGAAGTTGCAAAAGTTTGTTTGTGACGACAATGAGAGGCGGAATAACTAGGAAGCAATTTTCTGTTTTTATAATATTCAAATTTAAAACATATTGTTCGCTGCATTTATTTCAAAATTCAAATTACAATAACTTTGATCACAAAGTTAGTTTTTTATTGAATAACTAGCATTTACATAAATACCTTGCAACTAATCTAGAGTGAAAATAACAAATAGAACTGAAAATACTAATCAAAAGCAAAATAAAGTTTTTCTGTTGTTTTTTGTGTACTCAAAAAGTGAGTACACTCTAGAATCGGTCAGTGTGTCCGTCCGGCCGTTAACACGATAACTTTTGAAAGGAGAGTCCGATCACGATGAAATTTTCTACACAGTTTAGTCTTTACAATATCTCGGTCGAGTTCGAAGATGGGAATGATTGGACGAACCATTGCTGAGTTATTGCAAAAATAGCCATTTTTCCCTATGAGAAGATAGACCCTCCTCTGCTTTCATAAAAAAATTTTCCTATCACAGTCATATAAAACCCCAACTATTATATACCATTCGATAGAGAATTTCACGAGCTACAAAATGGTATATAAAATATAAAGAAACAAGAAAGCTAACTCGCCTATTGCAAAGATAATTAATCGGAATTCGGTTCTGTTTTTGTCCACGCTCTATGTGATCCACAATTCGAGCTCTATCTTCCCATCACAGAGATGATAGTTCGAGGTTTTCTAGAATGGAGAACTCGAATCTATGTTCCATTCGCCTCGAAATTTCATTGGTTGAGCAGTGACCAATAGAAATCAAGTTATAGGAAAAACGAGTTTCTTAGGGTAAATCAAGGTGAAGAGTTCAAATCTGAACTGTATTTGCCTCCAAATCGTATTGGCTGAGCAATAGCCAATAGAAATTAAGTGTTTACAGAAAGGGTTTGTCAGGACAATTTTGATGTCCACACATTCTAGGGTGACTCATCTGGCTCATTCACTTTTTGAAGTACACATAACTCTCGGATTTAAATCCGAGATTTCCACATTTTTTTCTTTTTGAATTAATCCAAAGCAGTTATTTTTCTATTCAATATAAACTAAATTAATTCGACGAACATGGATACGATTAAAAATCATTAACATTTATTAAATACATACTACTGCACATTGATCGAACAGAATCTTTTTCTTTTGTTATTTTAAAGGAAAGTGTAGAAATGCTTCACGCTTAAAGATCAAGTTCATCCAACACGTATCAAGAATAGAGCTCTTGACTACAAAAGGAAAACCATTAGATTTTTTCGATAGCAAAAAACAATCTAGAGTATTCTTTTCTGTCTACTAGAATTTTGACCATCACTACAAACTTCAGATCGTTTAAATCTTTTGACATTGTTTGACAGTCACTTTTATGATAAATTTTGAAAGAACCGAATAAATGATACATTTTTTTTCAATAGACCATTCGAAAACCAATAGAATTATGAAAAAGCATATACTAGATTGTTTAATAACAGAATCACTATTAGAATCACTTTCCTGTTTAGGATTTCTCACGAATATATTACCCTGAATGTTTTTTAAAGTCATGAAGATAGATTTGAAGCTTCTAATAACGATAGTGTTTCATCTTGGTAGCATGTTCTGAAGCTGAGGTTCAACATAGAAAAAAATCGTGAATTCACCACTGATAAGAATCAAAATAACTATTATTCTTTTCAAAAAACAATAGGCGTGACTGTTTTTTTGAATAACTCGAAAACGCAAACAGCTAGAGACTTGCGGCTTTCACCAATCAAAAGAGGAGACAAGGAGACGTCTTTTTTCTAATATTGTATCAGACAAAATCATTTTGAAATCAGCCATTTCTGCAAAGCATCGGAAAAATGTGTAAAAACGATCTGTCATTCAGATGAAATTTTGACCAAAAGTAAGAAAATTTGCTTGAAAATTAAAAGAAATCGACAATTTTCATGCGAGTAAACAGACGATTTTATTTGCTCAACATTAGAATATGAGAAGATAATGATTCGAATTATATCTTGAACTATAGATCGGAAGTTCCTCTATCTAGAGCACATGGCAAAACCAAAATTTCACCGGAATGACAAATTCTTTTCATGCATTTTTCGTAATGTTTTGCAGAAATGGCTGATTTTGAAATGGTTTTGTCTTATACAATTTTAGAGAAAAAGACGTCCACTTGTCTTCTCTTTCGATTGATGAAAATCACGAGTCTCTAGCTGTCTGCATTCTCGAGTTATTCAAAAAACAGCTACGCCTATTGTTTTTTGAAAAGTATAATAGTGAAATTTCTTTTCGAACGCACAAAACGAGTAACACTCTTTTTTTAACAAATAATGTTGGTTCTATGTACATCATTAGTATTCTTGATTTATCTAAAAAACTTTTCTCAAACAAATGGGATTTCAATAACCAAATATTATAGAGGAATTTCGGAAAAGATTTTCAAAAACAATGTTACTGTTTCATGCATCAAACTTGTTCTTGTTCTTGTTGTTCGTATTTCTATTTTTTGTCAATTTTTTTTACTTTTGGGTAATTAAATGTAATACAGTATATATGAATAGACTAGCATCAAAATTAACTTTGATATAACAAAAAGAAAATAACATTGATATTATAGTAAAAATATTCAAAATCACAGAATTTATTGAATGTTAACAGATCTTGTGGTACAATTAAATGAAACGCTGTTACAATGATAGTATCATTATCATTTTTATTTATAATTACACATGTACTAGTCATTTCATTCACATTCATTTGAAACAAATTATATTTATCATTGATTTTGACTAAACTCCTTGTCCTGCGAGTTATTGATCAAACTGAATCATAGCTCATGTAAACGATTCCAACTACTTGAAACAGCGTATTCTCTAACTCGAAATGGATATAAAATGATCAATTATGGCATTGATTTTGACCTTATCTCGCCATTAACCCATGATAGAAAGTGAGTATGGGTGTGGGTGTTGATGTTAACTGAATGTGCGTAGTGTATAGTTCTTTCTAGCACTACATTCACAGCTACACCCCTGTCATTGTAAACTCTGTAACTTATTAAAGTCGTTCACCACGTTTTCGATTGAATATTTCTACTCGTCTCAATAATGAAAATCACCAACAAACATATAAGAACAGCTTTGGTTGATAATGACATGTTTTGCTTTTTTTTTATCCCTTTTCACAGATATACCCTGGAAGCAGGTTTTTGATAACGCTTATCTTTGTTTTGAATCAATCTACTTTTATATTGATGCACCTTGCTCAGTTTCGCACGACCATTTGCATCGTATAAAAGAAGGCAGCAGCAATCGCAACAGCATGCTTTTCTTGTTTTTTTCTTTTCGTGTAGTTTTCAAAGGTAAGAAATCTATTTTGCAACAATAAAGCGTAGCATAATAAATCCTTCCTTGTCTATGATACCAAGAATTTATGATTGCTATCAGTGATGAGCTGGACCAAAGTTTCAGATGAGGTGAAAACAGTATTAAACTATTGTTTTTCTATAGTGCATTTTTTAGTGCTGAAAACATTCTTATTTCAATTGGTAAAAGATGATGGTGTCATTGTGTCACGGTAAGGGTATACCATTGCTACAGCGAGAAAGAATCGAGAGCAACACTTTTTCAGTACAGCTATGAAAGTTTTCTTCATAGTCCATTCATTAATAACCTTGTTTATATCAATGGAAGCAAAACTAAATTCTGTGTTGTATATTCAATCGCCTTCATCTTTTATCTTGAAAGTTAGAGACAGGCTTGAAAGAAATGAAGGTCTTGAGAGTAAGTGTGTGTAGTTAAAAAGATATAACACCCACACTCTTTTGTATAGTCTCCTTTCTATTCCTTAAAGCGGAGGTAATACCTAATCCTACATTCGTATGTGATAGCCCATTGGACAAACACTTAATAGCATTGCAAATCGTCTCTGAAGAGTATCGTACCATTGAAGTTCTTTTTAGAGTAGCATATGCTTGTATTTTAGTTAGGACTGAGTTACCATTGAAAAGACTCTCCTAATTCTATATAGTGTATTATTCTGGACTTCGTTTTGTTTGAGGCCTTAGCAGTAGAAAAGAGTCTATGTTTTGTTACATTTTCATGTCTTATTGTAGATCAGTAGTCAGCCATATTTAGTTTATAATGATAAACAATAAAGATAATGCTTCTATATTACAAACTTTTTGCGATCTAAGTGCTACAAAAAAGGTAGAAGATTTTTATAATCATACAGATGGACCACGTTTCAATACTGTGGAGAAATTTTATTACAATCAGCATACACAACAGACATATGATTTTGCAATGTCGAAAATGAAGAACTATGAAAATATGAATAAATTAGTATTAGATCCATGGGATGCATTAGAATTAGGTGGCTCATTTGTTGACGATTCAGATCCCGATACAGAATTAGATCAGATTTT